TATTCAGAAAACAAAAATGCAAGAAATCTGAGGAATATACAACGTCCAGGATTTTGGTTTTGACTTAGATCCCAGGAGTCAAAAGGAGGCTGAGGCTTTGACCCCGTGTGGCAGGGTGCGTGGGGGGGCCATCTGTCAGGCGTCTCCCTCCTCACCTCTCCCATCCTTGATTTCTGTATCAAGAGCTCTGTGGGGGAAGAGAGCTTGGGGGCATGGCCCCTGTGGGGTCCTGTGGGCTTAGGTCACAGCCCCAGAAATGGGAATAGCTGCTGTCTGAGGCCTGAGGACCGCGTCTCCTTCCCACCGCCTCCTCCCACCCAGCGGCTCTCTTCAAGAGTCTGCAGGGCAAGAAGCAGAGAGTAAGAAAGCGTCCTTGTAGAGCTCCGAATGTCTGCCTTTTTTAAATTCTCCCCCAGGTTTGAGGTAAAATTGAGAACAAAAATCATTTGTACTTAAGGAACACAATGTGATGTTTCCATATACATACACATTCTGAAATAGTCACCACAGTCAAGCTAGTCTACTGATCCATCTCTGTGACTTCCGGTAGGTGGGCTCTGACTCTCCCTGCGCAGCTCTTTGCCGTAACAAAGGGCTCTAATTAGCTGCCTAGAATTTCTGAAACTCAGTCCACCAGCAGCCCAACTATCCCAGCTGAACGGGCGGACCAGTGCGGTCAAGTAGCCGGTCTATTCGTCGCTCAGCTCCACTGGGTCCCTGGGATGGTCCTGTCGGAAAAGGACTTGATGATCAGTGAATCCCCCTCGATCTGAAAATGAGCCCCCTGAGGCTTAGTGAGATGAAACGGAGCCTGGGTAGGGTCACACCGACAGCAACAAAGCCTGAGCAGAAGCCATTTTGGTTTTGTATTTTATTCCCAAAGATTGTAACTTATTTTTTGAAATTCTTTTTTTTTTTTTTAAGGCATTTAAGATGAAGAATCAGATTGAAATTGTCCCTTCTCAAACAACTATTTCTGGTTCTTTGATCTTGGAAAAATTACCTTCCTGGATTTGGAAAAAACTGCATCACACAAGGCTCTGACGAACATATGATTAGCTTCAGTACAAATCCTGAAATGAAGTGCAAGTGCAACACACCGCTCAGTGGCAGAGGCGCGAAGAACAATCCTCAGGCCCCTTGCAAGACTTTTACCTAATTTTCCATGAATAACTTTGTATCCAATACTTAAAGAACACTTAAAGAGAGTAACTGGCTGACCTTGGAGAAGTTACCTAAGCTCTCTGTACATCTATTTTCTCATCTGGAAAATGCAGACAATGAAACTCATTTCCTAGAGCTGTCATGATGCTTCAGCAAGGCGAGGTAGGAAGTGTCTTAGGGCCTGGCTCAGAGCAAACCTGCAGGAAGGCATAGCTTGAGGAGGGAGGGAGGGTGTCTGATGTGATTAGGAGCATTGGGCTTTAGAACCAGACACACCTACATTCAAATTCCTGTTTCATATTCCAATACATTTTATGTTATCTTGGGTGGCTTAGTCATTCTGAGCCTTTGTTCTCTCATCTTTAAGATGGTGTAATAAAACCTAGCCAAGAGAGTTGTTTAAGATTAATGAGATGATGTAAAGTGCTTAGCAATGTGACCGGTTTTGGCTGGAATAACAAGAGAATATCGAAAATGGCTTTAAAAAGTAGCTTCCAAACATTTTGGCTACAAACCACAATAAGAAATAGATCTTACATTGTTACACACATGTACACATTATCACAGGTCTATTGAGTGGATCAAATTTGATACTATATACGATCAGCTTCATCCAATGTTTTGGAATTGGGAAATAAGGAGGGCAGAATCTGAATCGGGTTTTCCCAGCACCATACGTGAACAGTGCCAGCATTTCATTATGCTACATGCTTGCTTGTGCTTTTCCTCACTTCCCCATTTCAATTCATTTATTTATTTTTTTTCAGAATCCTACAGCATTGGAAGAAAGGATTAATAAAACCTTAGGTACGTGAAAAATCTACCTGAATGTACTTAATCTCACTCTGATCACCTGTTCATGTTACTTAATGTCTGTAAGTCCTGCTGCCAGAATTGTTCAATACCAAAATGTTCATCTGGGTAGAGGTTGGTTGGACCAAAGCATTGTCTATCCTGTTTTTTAAAGAAGCACGCTGTCCTACTTCTCCCAGAATATGGACGCATCAGCGTAGTGAACATTCTGCCCAAACAAGCCAGTGTCACCTGTGAGAAGTGACGAGTCTGGGTATCATCTCAAGCCAGATTCTACACGAGGGATAAACACACCATAATGGTTATCCTATTACTGCTCCTTCATCACTGTAGCAAATTCAAGTAACAATAGTGGGCGATTGTAACTTTAGTAACATTCCCTGCCCTCCGATGAGTTAGGCGCTAAATCACATGGGCTCAATCTGCAGTTAATGATGCTGGCTTCCTATGCTATTACTCACTGTAACTCAGGACAAAATATGTTCCCACCCTGGGGCAAATTACCTTTGAAACTGAAATCAAAGGAAGAAATAAAGTGGGAGAAACATGTCCTTTTCTTGACTGGTCTGCAGCTACCACTTGCAACATTTACAGCCTGGTCTCTTGCTGGTCTGAATGCAGTCATTGGTTTTCAAGATTGTATGTCTCCTACTTTTTTTCTGGTTTTTGGTTTTTGTTTTGCCAGTTCTATTTTGGGATTTTCCAATACACATTGAGAAAGGGGCTGCACCAGTACCAAGTTTCATTGGAAGTAGCTTCTCTAAGCAGCTTAGACTCTATTGGTAGGTTGACAGGCAACAACAAAAAAGTTCTAATAAATATAGCAAAAATGCAAATTTAACTGGGAGGCAATGTGGTATATTATGAAGATACATGTGAATTCAAATTCCACTACTGTGATTACTGGCTGTTGACCTTGGATAGGTTACTTAACTTCTCTGAACTTCATTTCCTTTTGTCTGTAATTTGGATGCAGGCATGTCTATTTTGTATAGTTATCAGCTTCATATATATATATATGAAAAGCACATAGAATGAGATAGGCCTTTGTGGTTACTATTTTTAGCAACATTATTCTTAATAATTGTAATTACTAAATATTCAGAAAAAAAAATGCAAGAAATCTGAGGAATATACAACGTCCAGGATTTTGGTTTTGACTTAGATCCCAGAAGTCAAAAGGAGGCTGAGGCTTTGACCCCGTGTGGCAGGGTGCGTGGGGGGGGGCATCTGTCAGGCGTCTCCCTCCTCACCTCTCCCATCCTTGATTTCTGTATCAAGAGCTCTGTGGGGGAAGAGAGCTTGGGGGCATGGCCCCTGTGGGGTCCTGTGGGCTTAGGTCACAGCCCCAGAAATGGGAATAGCTGCTGTCTGAGGCCTGAGGACCGCGTCTCCTTCCCACCGCCTCCTCCCACCCAGCGGCTCTCTTCAAGAGTCTGCAGGGCAAGAAGCAGAGAGTAAGAAAGCGTCCTTGTAGAGCTCCGAATGTCTGCCTTTTTTAAATTCTCCCCCAGGTTTGAGGTAAAATTGAGAACAAAAATCATTTGTACTTAAGGAACACAATGTGATGTTTCCATTTACATACACATTCTGAAATAGTCACCACAGTCAAGCTAGTCTACTTATCCATCTCTGTGACTTTCGGTAGGTGGGCTCTGACTCTCCCTGCGCAACTCTTTGCCGTAACAAAGGGCTCTAATTAGCTGCCTAGAATTTCTGAAACTCAGTCCACCAGCAGCCCAACTATCCCAGCTGAACGGGCGGACCAGTGCGGTCAAGTAGCCGGTCTATTCGTCGCTCAGCTCCACTGGGTCCCTGGGATGGTCCTGTCGGAAAAGGACTTGATGATCAGTGAATCCCCCTCGATCTGAAAATGAGCCCCCTGAGGCTTAGTGAGATGAAACGGAGCCTGGGTAGGGTCACACCGACAGCAACAAAGCCTGAGCAGAAGCCATTTTGGTTTTGTATTTTATTCCCAAAGATTGTAACTTATTTTTTGAAATTCTTTTTTTTTTTTTTAAGGCATTTAAGATGAAGAATCAGATTGAAATTGTCCCTTCTCAAACAACTATTTCTGGTTCTTTGATCTTGGAAAAATTACCTTCCTGGATTTGGAAAAAACTGCATCACACAAGGCTCTGACGAACATATGATTAGCTTCAGTACAAATCCTGAAATGAAGTGCAAGTGCAACACACCGCTCAGTGGCAGAGGCGCGAAGAACAATCCTCAGGCCCCTTGCAAGACTTTTACCTAATTTTCCATGAATAACTTTGTATCCAATACTTAAAGAACACTTAAAGAGAGTAACTGGCTGACCTTGGAGAAGTTACCTAAGCTCTCTGTACATCTATTTTCTCATCTGGAAAATGCAGACAATGAAACTCATTTCCTAGAGCTGTCATGATGCTTCAGCAAGGCGAGGTAGGAAGTGTCTTAGGGCCTGGCTCAGAGCAAACCTGCAGGAAGGCATAGCTTGAGGAGGGAGGGAGGGTGTCTGATGTGATTAGGAGCATTGGGCTTTAGAACCAGATACACCTACATTCAAATTCCTGTTTCATATTCCAATACATTTTATGTTATCTTGGGTGGCTTAGTCATTCTGAGCCTTTGTTCTCTCATCTTTAAGATGGTGTAATAAAACCTAGCCAAGAGAGTTGTTTAAGATTAATGAGATGATGTAAAGTGCTTAGCAATGTGACCGGTTTTGGCTGGAATAACAAGAGAATATCGAAAATGGCTTTAAAAAGTAGCTTCCAAACATTTTGGCTACAACCCACAATAAGAAATAGATCTTACATTGTTACACACATGTACACATTATCACAGGTCTATTGTGTGGATCAAATTTGATACTATATACGATCAGCTTCATCCAATGTTTTGGAATTGGGAAATAAGGAGGGCAGGATCTGAATCGGGTTTTCCCAGCACCATACGTGAACAGTGCCAGCATTTCATTATGCTACATGCTTGCTTGTGCTTTTCCTCACTTCCCCATTTCAATTCATTTATTTATTTTTTTTCAGAATCCTACAGCATTGGAAGAAAGGATTAATAAAACCTTAGGTACGTGAAAAATCTACCTGAATGTACTTAATCTCACTCTGATCACCTGTTCATGTTACTTAATGTCTGTAAGTCCTGCTGCCAGAATTGTTCAATACCAAAGTGTTCATCTGGGTAGAGGTTGGTTGGACCAAAGCATTGTCTATCCTGTTTTTTAAAGAAGCACGCTGTCCTACTTCTCCCAGAATATGGACGCATCAGCGTAGTGAACATTCTGCCCAAACAAGCCAGTGTCACCTGTGAGAAGTGACGAGTCTGGGTATCATCTCAAGCCAGATTCTACACGAGGGATAAACACACCATAATGGTTATCCTATTACTGCTCCTTCATCACTGTAGCAAATTCAAGTAACAATAGTGGGCGATTGTAACTTTAGTAACATTCCCTGCCCTCCGATGAGTTAGGCGCTAAATCACATGGGCTCAATCTGCAGTTAATGATGCTGGCTTCCTATGCTATTACTCACTGTAACTCAGGACAAAATATGTTCCCACCCTGGGGCAAATTACCTTTGAAACTGAAATCAAAGGAAGAAATAAAGTGGGAGAAACACATTTATTGCTTACAAGCAGTTGTCCACTTCTGCTTTCCTGTGTCTCTCACCACCCGGCTTCAGAAAGGGACCCCACCCAACCTCTTGCTCCAGATATGCCCTTGCCTCCCCCTTGTAATCATCTATTGATATGGAGATGAACTGCTTCTCTCCACCCCTCAGAAACACCTATTGATATGGAGATGCACTAAGGCCAGGCGAGAGATTCTGGAAATAGTTGATTTTATCCACATTCATGGAGGGTGATGTGTTATGTATCTTTCTTTTTCACCTGGGGATACTTGATAAACACCGCATGCATTGGTTTGGTACAAGCTGCACGGTAGTTGATAACCTGATTGTGTGGATTTTTCTTCACTGCTCCTAGATCCCCATCCTAGCTGTGGTAGCTTGATGAGCATGGCACAAGATGGTGAAGGCATTACTGTCATTTGACCATACATTTTTTGAGGCAAAACTGCATCTAGCAATCACAGGGAGTTTCGGAAGAGGCATTTTTGAGCATTTTTTATGCCCTGTCTGTTGGCGGGCTGGCCTCTTTTCTGGTGGTGTTTTCAGTGTTGTTGTACATAGGGCCCCTGGGGTCTGTCACTTTATCATATACACGTATGCTTTTACAGTCCACACTCTGTATGCATTAAACATTTTATAGTTCCTGGTAGTGCACATCCCACACACGGCAAACTCCAGGAAGGATTGCATCAGCTTAAAGGAAACACTTATAATCAAACTCATTACACTTGAACTTGCAGTTCATGCCAATACCCAGTGGAAACTGTCACTTGAAAGACATTTGTTTATGACCATCAGGCTTAGTAATAGACCTTTTGAAACTTAGAAGCCTGGAAAGCATTACATAATCCTGTGCTGGGACATTCTGACCCTGAGGAAGTGTTCTAGGACCACCCACCATGGCACACTGCTTATGTCCAAACTGCCCTTTAAACTCCCGGCGAGAGCCAGAGTCTCTAGCTGGGACTTCCTAACACATTTGACAGTAAATGCATATAGCAGAAAACGGGTATATTTGAGTTCCCTTTAAGCTGAATCCTAACTGTATAAAGCTACATTTGAATGAGCTAGAGGCATGCTCTCAGCTGTAAGGTGGATAAACATTTTATTTTAAACTGGTCATGATTTTACAATCACAAACTCAATGGGCCTCACTAAGCAACAACTTTTATCCAATGTACTTCCAAGAAAAAAGATAAGATCATTTACTATCAAATGCAAATACTAATTTTTGACATAAGTCCTCCAGTGCTAATTGGCTCATATTCACTGTCTGTTATTTCATTACTTAAGGGTAGATTCTGCTTACTAACTTATCGTGAAGGGCTCAAAAAAGGAAGGTATGTTGCTTAACACCAAAACAGGCCTTAAGTACATTATTGAAATGAGCGGTTAAAAATCCTGATGTAAGTTTTTCCATTTTAAGATTACTGAAGACTAGATCTGTTTTTTGAGGGAATTCTTGGCTCTTCCCCTAAGGACTACTACTTTACCCAACTCAGACATGGCATGGAGATGTGGTGGACAACCACCAGATTTATCAGCATGTAAGATATATAACATATATGGAACACTACAAGGATAATTTTTTGGGGAAAACGCAATTAAGAATTTTCATCACATGATTTATAGGTGTCTCTACAAGTTGCTTTAAATACAGAGAACCGTTGTGTTCACATAGGAACGGTATGTTGGGAGTTGAAATTAATAGGGAACTTGTTCGTATTTCACATCTTTGCGAGCTGACCAATTAAAGCGCATTGGATGCAGAGCAGTTTTTCTATATATTCAGGTGTGAGGTGGGGGCTCTGATTTTACTAGAAGGCTGCAAACCCTCAGTTGTCAAAGCATATGACTCTGTCCAAATACATAATACCACCTATCTGGGGTTACCAAGTTTAGCCAGTGAACAGAATCACAGCATTGCTGCATGTCATCTTTAATCAAAAGCCTGATTAGGAGAACTAGTCACAGGATTTTTACCTGAAGGGTATATAGTCCACTTATTCCTTTAAATCTAACTTTGCTGCTTATTCCTAGACCCCCACTGAGAGTAACTGCGTGGACCGTGCTCTCGGTAACTTGCCGACTGGTGTTTCCTATCACATAACCTACTTCTGGGCCACCACGGAAAGTATTAGAAAAGGTAAGTGTTCAAAACTTGCTATGTACTGTAGGACTGTATTGAGTTTCTGATAACTGCAACTTCCTAGAAGAATTTCATTTCAGGCTTCTGTGCTAGGAAAAATTGTGTTTCTCTTCACTTAAAAAGGTTTACAAACAGCAGGCTGTATCTGATCAATCAGTATTCCTCTCTGCTACTGCCACTGAGAGCTCTCATCCAAACCTGTGTGCTCCTCTAGTGTTTATGCAGGAGCACGTGGTTAATGTCTTTTAACTAACTGCACCCTTGCTTTCAGTTTGAGAACCAATTATTGTCCCTTCATCCTATTTTTAAATAATTATCCTATTGTATGAGTCTATGTAAAACCCCCTCAAAAACCATTAGGAAAGATATGGGGATAAATTATAGACATTAAATGGTGTACATATGTTGAAAAATAATGGTTCTGCAGTTGGTCATTATGTGTTACTCGCTCAGTAGATGAGGACCCTTTTCTTACACTGTTTTTGCTCACAAGTTGAGCAGCAAATTGTTAAGAACAGGTGCTGGATGTCAGGAAACCAGGGCCCTGGGGGTCCAGCTTTGCGAGTAGCCCCAGGAAGGGTTCCGAACAAATCACTTAATCACTGTGCGCCTCAGCACTAAAATGATGGAAGGCCTTCTCTTGGTTCCCTGCAGCCCTATGGTTTGAATCCAGTTTGTCTTTCATGCTTTCATGAGGCACAGTATGAGAGCGCGGATGCGCACCGGGCAATGCGGTGAGGACCTAAGGGAGGAAGGAAACAGCGTGACACAATCGCTCTGTGCAATAGACACTTTTATTGTCCTTTCACCTTTGCAGTCATCTTTGAGTAATCGTCGTGTAAACAATAGAATGGAATGAAATTACATTAAATTGTAGGCAAATGGCTCTAGAACACCTTAACAATTATGACAAGGCAATTATAAATAACTTGTTTTCCTTAGTAATATAGAGTTGCTTTTTAAAGTACATTAAAGAGCTGCCATATCTAGGGTTAGCTAGGAAAGAGCAACGGTACCATCCCGGGAGCCCACCTGCCAAAAGTTGAGACTCCAATTTTGAAAATCCTAAGGTTTACTATTTCATAATATATAGTCAAGCAGAGGGCTATGTGGGTTGAAAGTATTTATTCTTAACAGCGTTTTACCTTTAGTCATTGCACAAGACCCTTTCTATTATTTTTCACTCCATCTGGGTATTCTGCAAAATTTCAAGTAGAACTCAGATTCTGGTATTTTCAAGTGTATCACTTAAGGAGAAGTCAAATCAGAGATGGATACATAATGAGCGATCTAAAAGAATGGCAACATCTTACACAGCATTCTAAACGTTCCCGTGAAGCAAAGCTTAAAGATGTCACTTCATGTAGAGGACATTTTAGATCTGAGACTTTCCCAGAGCAAAGCAGTCTCAGGCACATTCTTGATATCAAAATTTGCAAGGCGCCTCCCTCTCCCAAGAGACAATCAGATTGTGGATTGGTTTTTAGGCAAACGAACCAAGAGTAGCATCCTAATTCAGTCATTTCAAAAACCGGAAGTTATAAATACTCCAAAGATAGACCTGAATTTTTTTTTTGTTTAAATAACGAGATTAACTGCAAGAAGCATATAATCAAAAACTTTTCTTCTTATAGCTAAGGTGTGTAATGCATAAATATATGAAAAATAAAATTCACAGTCAGTTTGAAAACTAGAATTCAAGTTTGGCTAATAAATCTTAATTTTATAAGTATATTAATTTCTAAATACAACATAAAGAGGCAGTTATTGTCAGATATACAATTAAAGGAGAACAGAAAAAACGATGAAAGAACTAGGCTTCTGATAGAAAAAATTCCTTTTGTTGCCAATAATAGGGCCACCTGAGTGTATTTCAGATTCTTTTCACTTAAGGGGTATCCGAATTGATTGCTGAGAATATTAAATAGCAACAGTTGCACAGCTGTGGCATTTGCGTGTTATCATACTGTGGATTGCTAGAGAATAAAGCAGAACTTGGGAGTATTGTTAAGGTCAAAAAAATTGTTTTTATCCCATCTCATTGAAGCCAGTCTCTTCACAATCTTCTGATTTTGCTGGGAACTGGGAGGAGGGGTTGGGGGAGGGCAGGAGAGGACAGCGTCGAGGGACGTACATCAGCTGACACTCAACTGCGCAAACCCGATCAGCTTCACTTCATCAGGAATCTCCGACCCGTCGCAGCCGGAAGCCTGGAAAGAGAGAAAGAATCCTTCAGCGCTCTTTTTCAAGAGCTGCTCATGTGACAGCATATCTAAGTAGAGTCTGTGTGGGGCCACAGGTCCCATCTCTGCCAGGAGAGACCCTCAGAACCACTCTGTTGAATGACTACTGTAAGAAATACCATTAGCCTGCTGTCAAGTACAGGAAATGGGGGGGAAATGAGATTTCCCATTAAACCACCACTGGGCTCAGACTCAGAGCTTGGGAACTGCCAGTGAGCCACAGGACTGCCGTGAAACCACATACAAATGTTCACTTACTGAAGTGATTAAAAGAATGTTACACAAAAATAAACTCAGATTAAACTCCTAAGAGAAACCACAGGCAGTAATCTCTTAGACGGCACCCGGCCTCAGTAACAGCTCTCTGGATCTGTCTCCTCAGGCAAGGGAAGTCGAAGCAAAAGTAAACAAATGGATTTCACACCAACTAAAAAGGTTTTGCACTGCAAAATGAAAAGTCCAAGTGAAAAGCAACCCAAAAAAAGGAAAAGTCAGCCTACTGGAGGGGAGAAGCAATCTGGCAAGGAGTTACTATCCAAATACCTGAAGAGCTCATACAGCACCAAAAACATAAGACATATAGATCAGTGGAAGAGACTAGCCCAGAAATAAACCCAAGCTTATGTGGTCAATTAATCTACGACAAAGGAGGCAGAATATACAACAGGGAAAAGACAATCTCTTTAATAAATGGTATTGGGCAAACTGGTCAGCCACATGCAAAAGAAAAACTGGATCTCTCACACCATACACAAGAATAAACTCAAAATTGAAGACCTAGTTCTGGGACAATGGCATTAGAAACATTTTCTGGATACAACTCCCCAGTCAAATGCATCAAAAGCAAACATAATCAAGTGGGACTACATCAAGGTGAAAAAGCTGCACAGCAAAGGAAACCTTAACAAAATGAAAAGGTGAATTACTGAATGGGAAAATATATTTGCAAATGATAGAGCTCGTGAGGGGCTAATACCCAAAATATAGAAAAGACTCTTACAACGCAACACCAAAAAGACATACAGATGGCCAGCAAAACACATGAAAAGGGGCTCCACATCACTGACCATCAGGGAAATGCAAATCAAAGCCACAGCAAGTTATCACCTCACACCAGTCAGAATGGCTACTATCTAAAAGACAAGAAATAACAAGTGCTGGAGAGGATGTAGAGAAATGGGAACCCTCCTACACTGTTGGTGGGAATGTAAATTGGTGCAGCCATTATGAAAAACAGTCCAGAGGTTACTCAAAAGACTAAAAATAGAAGTAACATATGATCCAGTAATTCCACCTCTAGGAATTTACCGGAAGAAAACAAAATCCCTGATTTGAAAAGAAAAGATGTATGTGCTGTTATGTTTACTGCAGCAACATACACAATTGCCAAGGTAGAGAAGCACCCTAAGTGTCCCTCCATAGATGAATGGGTAAAGAAGAGGTGGTACATAGACACAATGGAATGTTAGCCATATGTTGGGCTCAGAGGGCATCATGCCAAGTGAAAAAAGTCAGAGAAAGACAAAGACCACATTATTTCCCTTATATGTAGAATCTAAATGGATTCAGACATGTAGAGAACTGGGGATTGCCATAGGGGTGGGGGATAGGCAAAACGGGAGGGGATTAAGAGGTATAAACGTCTAGAAAAAAAAAGAATAGAAAGACCATTGTAAGAAATAGTAATAGTGTAATAATTGTGTGTAGTGACAGATGGTAACAATGCTTCATGGTGAGCATTTCATAACAGTCAAATTATAATAAATATAATATTGTATGACAACTATACTTCAAAAAAATACTGTGAAAATGAACACAAGCGATCTAACAGGTCACCTTGGGGTGTTTGGTTTTCCCCAAAAACATCTCCTTAGTAAAACTAGCCAGAAAAAAAAGGGGTCACCAAGGAGTGGAGTGGCTCATGATAGGTTAACTCCTATTCAAGTGCCAGTGAGTGATTTGAGGAAAGGTACCATAACACTGTTTTTCTCATAACAGAATTTTGTTTATAATATTTTAGAACATGTATTGCCTAAAATTGTCCCAAATTATAGTGTGCCAAATACTTTTTCTCTTCAAAATCAAAAGGAACTGGAAATAAGCCACTGCCTATCGAGCTTCTCGTTGGTCCTAATTCCTAAGTCATTTTTCACTGCCTCTCCCCGTTTCCTCATCACTCATGCACAGAGTACTCAAGTCACCATTTGAAGCTGCACCTTCACTCAACAGTACATAAATCAAAATTGGGTATCAGGAAGTACCGCAAGTGGGGATGGGTAAATCTTTTCTTAGCCTAATTCCTGCTAAATTATTGTTGAAACAACTTTCCATGGAAAAAAGCACTTCCCAATCATCAGACTGCTCCAAGAAACAGCACATAAACTCAGCCCTCTGCCAACCCCAGCATTTACTTTTAAAATAAGCAGCTAATTAGACCTATAACTAAAATATTTTAAATAAAATAATATTCAGTGTTAGATATATAAGAAAATCAGTAGTGTAAAGGGTACAGATATTAGTTAGCAGTTAAAGAATTTACTTTGTGCCCGTCCAGTGATTTCTCTAGTTATATTTGACAGATAAGCTATTCAGTAATTTCATCGTGTTGGCAGGGGCAGTAAGATCAGAAATGCTCCTCTCCTTATAAGTTTTAAAAAAGTATATAGGCATAGAAGGCTTTCAGCTGTGAGATTTTCCAGTGGGTATTTGTCAAACTGATACTGTTATATTCACCACCACCCTGCCACCAACTTTCTCCTTCCATTATCAATGTTCCTTATCTGTCTCTCTAACCCTTTTCTTCCTTCCTATGCAGCTATTGTTAACGTCATTTACTCAACCCACTGAGTTGGGGCAGAAACAATTCGTGTAATTAATAGGCAATGACACACGTCTGCGGACAAACTGCTGCTGGAGACAGAAAGGTCAGACCGGCAAGCGGGAGGCACAACAGCGCATTTCAAAGCTCCATCAGAAATTTGGCAATGTGAGTAAGGAAGGATAAAATGACTAGAAATAAAAACAAAATATCCAGTAGCAGTGAACCAACTAGCAACAAAAGAAAAACATTAAATTTTCTTGTTGAGAGTCATGGAAGTGAGAATTTACAATGACAGTGGGTCACCAAACCAGGGGTGGCCATGGGTACACTGCCCAGGGCATCCTTGGAGCCTGGATCCCAGCCCACGTCGCAGTGTCTCCTGCAGCTGCCCTGGGATGTTCTGCTTCCTGGCAAAGATGCGCAGGCCGGGCTGGAGGGCAGTCCTTCCAAGCTCTGCAGCCCCTTCTTCCCCACCACCTTGCTGGCGCTCTCCTACCCAAGGCTGAGGTCCTGTCTCACTGCAGGGCAATATGCAAATGGTTCCGAAAGGTGGACCTGAGGCGAAAAGGGCCCTGGGGGCAGGTCTCAGAGTTTTTGGTCGCAGGATTCCCTGAGAGTAAAGTGTCACAAAAATTATCAAGGACTCCAAAAGCTTATGTTTATGTGGGCTATATTTATTACACTGACTTAGTATTACCAAATAAATATAACCCACATTAACATGTTTGTTTTTAATATATTTTAATAATCCCTTTAACATTATTCAAATGTTTAACATAGAAACGGAAGATATTTAACAACGAAGTCATTAAAAATAATAAACCCAATATATACTAACAAATAATATTGTCATAAAAATAACTACAGCTTACAAAAGCAAGAACAGCTGAGAAGTGGCACTGTTTTACATTTCACAGATCTCTTTAAAGTCGTGCTAAATAGACGGCCAGATTTTCACACGTGCTTCTGTATTCAGTCTATTGCTGTGTATTGTTTTCTTTGAAGTATATACAGAAAAATCCAGTCTCACCAAACACCTAACTGAAAAAGGGAATCATGTTTTATGGCCTTTACAGATAACTGTGGATATTGTTCGTCACTACACCAAAACTCACCAAGCAGTAGTTTCTTAAAGGTTAGATGCAGCGTGGAATCCAAAACCACAGCATAGAACTTTTTATTCCCTGTTGTGTGATGGCCCATCGGTTTATCTTGCACTTTGAATGGAACTTTCCCACGGCCATGACTTCTCAGCGTCACTGAGTTACGCACATTTTCCAATGTTGCCATAGTTCACTATACAGTATCAAGTCATGCTCATTAATTTCACCCACCGCCATCAGAAAGTCCAAGTCATCAGAAAGTCCAAGTACTGAGGGGTTGTTTCCCACATCCCTAGTCTGAATGACCAGTTTGTCAATTGTTTTTTCAAGTAAAAATGGTGTTTCATTAAAAAAAAAGAGATTAAATAAAAATCAGTGTTTCATGCTACATTAGGAAAATGCGTATGTGAAACTGCCTTAGTTCTGTATCTGTTTTTTAAAGTTACTGATGAGGGCAGATGCCTAAGTGGCTCTGAAGAACAGGGCGGCTCCTAGCACAGACTGATGTTCCTGCCTTGATTTGCACCAATATAAACAGTTTTGACCACCATGGCTTTTACACCAAGGTCAGCACTGGAAAAAGCAGGTAACATTTAGTATTATTATGAAGGCGTTTGACATCCAGGATGGATACTTTAAAGGGAACCCACAAAGAGCTCCAGAAGTCCAGGAGCCATACTTGGTGAACTTCAAAGGAAAATACATGTACTGTCAGGAACTCACGCAGCACGACAGTACAATACCAGGCACGCTCTCTCTCAAGTGTCTATACTCTGAAAATCTCTACCTCCTCACTAGCCTGACCAGCAGGTATGGCCTGAGTCCAGCAGAGGAGCTAAAGATGGGGTTATCCAGCACCAATCACAGCGATTCCCTCCACCCCAAACCTGCATGCACTGTGGAACCACCCAGTGAGTCTGGAAGCATACCAGTGCCCATGTCCACCCCCAGAGGCTGGACTGGTCTGGGGTGTGCTCTGGGCACTGGGATTTTCTGAGCTCCCTAGGAGATTCACAGGTTCAGTAGAGTTTGAGAATCACTGT